CCCCTAAGTGTAGTGCATGCTTCCCCCTCGGGAGGTGGCGGTAATTTTTCCCACGCTGTACGGCGAGATCCGTCAGCTAGCGGGCTTCTCCACAACCAGGTTTCTCTCACCAGCGGGGCACCGCCCCAGCCGGGACAAGCTCTAAGCTCCCGGCATGTGTGCTTGTGTAATGGGAGAGGATAGGACGAGCAAGAGGTTAGAAAGATTGCGAGCGGTCCGTGGCCCGTTTAGTAGGGTACTGGTCCGATATTTGCCTGGTGTTAATCGGAAAAAAGACGGAAATCTACCGATCAGAGCTGCCGGCCGATAGAATTCTCCTCCAGATAGCGAAGTAGTGAAAATGCCGAGCTTTGGAAAGGAGATTACATTTCTAAATTGCAACGAAGTGCAAGCAAGTGTAGCTAGAAGTATTGCAAAGAAAACTATGAAAGACACGCAGAATAACACAGACAATGAACTTCTGCTCTTACTTAAGATAAAATGTGAGACATAAAAAATGTTTTAAAAAATTTAGAGAGACAAGCCATTCCACGGACAATATCTAAAAATAATGGTTAAGGTTCAGATCAACAACTCATGTGGCTTAAAAGGGAAATAATTAAGCTAGAATCGGATGAACACGAAATTATGTTCGGCGTTTCCCAACATGTACGAAGATGATAAATGCCGCATCTACAAGCCTTCCATCGCATCGTCTCCGCTTGCCCAATTTTCGAAAAGAGCGACTTCATGAAAAGACATGATAGAGTGTTTAGTTACCAAACCAGTGTTTAGTTACCAAAACCAGCGACGTCAGTTTGACTGTGTACAACCAACGACCAACGAATTGTATGACCAACAAATTCATAGTGATCGCAAAATCATTTTGAATCCGGGATTTAGATTAAAAAAACACGTTTCTACTTGTAGTTATGGATGTGCTGGTCAATCAAAACATCGTAATCAAGAAGGCAGAGAAACGCCTTAAATACCTCTACAAGAGTTTGGAAATCAAGATCAGTCGAATGTGAGGCATGAAAGCAGAGGTCGTCCCGACAGTTACTGGAGCTTTGAGATTTGTTCCGTACAATTTGTGAAAGAACTTGGCTAAACTGATCGTGCGATCACTATGAAATTGTTGGTCATACAATATTGTACACAGTCGAACTGACGTCACCGGTTTTGGTGTGTTCGTACCACTTGGAGCATGTGCTTGGAACTTCGAGGGTGTTACAGATGTACCAGTGGAGGTAACTAAACACTCTATCATTTCTTTTCATGTAGTCGGTCTTTTCGAAAATTGGGCAAGCTGAAACTCTGTGATCGAAATTTTCTACTTGCACCTGGTAGATGCGGCAAAGTATTGTAGAGACACCGACAGTCCCCAGATCTGCTCCTTGGGAATCTCGTTGCAACTTGGAGTAGATTTTTTTCAACAGAAGTAGAGGAGTAATAATAATAATAATAATAATAATAATAATAATAATAATATGTCATCATTGCAGAATCCAACTTAAAACACTAGACGGCGCCATCACCAACGCTCAGTTCTTGGATAAGGACACCCCCGACTTTCACAGGCCGCTGGGTACGTAATGCAGGGAAACTACTCATTTTCAAGATGCATTATGAGCTCCGGAAAAGGGAGGAACCACGGGAATGTAAAGTCTGTAATCCACGCCGTATCTGGTATTTTATCACAAAGGCGGTAATGTCCGTAACACTCCTGAACTGTATCGTCATTTTTTTAAATTACAGCGCTTATTTCACAATAGACCCTTTGTAAGGTGAGTCTACAACTTAGCAAATGGCACACGATATTTTTTCGGAACAACTCATTAAAGAAATTTTTTAGTATCTCTAGCTGATATTATTGCGAACCTAATCTCCTAATTAGGGTGTCCGCTTCTACGTCCGTTTCTTCTTCTAAGGCCCCATCATTGTGCTCTCGTAATCAATGGCATAGTTACTGTAGGCCGAGTGGAGGGCAGTGCACCCCGGGAGACACCATGTTTCCAATAAGAACATTTATAGTCGGAATTATATAATTTTAATGATTTATTTAAAAATTATATTTTAATTATTCTGAATTATATGCAATTTTAAATATATTATAAATAAGTGCCATGCGCAAATATATTTTGTATTTTTATTATATAAAGTATAAACTATTCAGTAATAGATATTTTTACATTTAATTTATGGTGGGAGGGGTGAAGCGATTAGTTTCTTGGAAATAAATACAAAAAGAGAGATAATACTGCTTACTTGGTCATTATAGTAACTAGAATCGTTCCGAATATATTCAATCATGGTCTAAATGTGAGCTTTTTCAGATTTGGTACAGGTTCCACTCTCAATATTCAATTCTATAGTTATTCAGGTGTCCAAACTTACTCACACCCAAATACAGCATCGTATGCATAATCTTATCAGGTTATGAATATTTAAAAAAGTAAAAATACATGTTGTATGAAACTAAAGATTGTCGATTTTTCATATTAAATGAAATAATAATAACTTAGAAAATGCGACTTTTACGGGATTATATATTCAATATTGATTGATTTTATATTCTCTGTTTAGCTTTTCTTAACATTTTCATTTATGCGGGTATTTTCAAAGAGTTATAGTTAGAATTTTTGTAACATCAAATATTTTTTTACAGAAGTCGTTGTCAACTGTAGACAAACAAGAATCTTAAGAAATGATAATTCTAACACGTTAGAGCAATAAAGAACGATAACGACAAATAGATGGTACTTACTCTCTAAACAATTATTGCGTTGCACAGTGTCCTAGAATGGCTTTGTTATCAGTGTACACTGCCATCTTCGAACCAAGACTGTATAATAGAATGTCAATGGGACAGAGCTACACGTCCTCGTGCTAACGACGGCCAGCGCCGCGCCACATTTCCCGCGAACAATTCGACTTCTTCTTTATCACTTCTGTTTTATTTCGTTGTTATGCGGTCCTCTCTTCGGTTGATAAGGATTTATCAGTGATTAGTTATAATTAAATATATTCTCCTATTAATACACAACAAAAGTAGAGAAATAACTCCATAAAACTACTGATGCTATAACACCACATACTTTATCACATTCGGATACTAAAAATTGTTCGAATACTACAAACTTTTCAAAAACGTTTTCTTGACGTTATTTAAGGATTTAATTCTGAAAAAAGATTTCGTTAATAAAAAAATCTGTATATTTTTTTCTCTCGAATTTTAGAAAGAGTCCGGAAAAATAAAACTTTTGCAATTTTTAAAAATTTAGAGCTTTCAACAAAAATCATACCTGTGCAGTTTTTATGAGCATTCTTTGATTACCCTACAAAAATGATCCATATTTAGAAAAGTTTTGAAAATCGTTGAGAATTCATGTAATGCACCCTCAAATCAAATCTTCAAATCCCAGGGGCCGCGATATTTCACAAATCGATCGGGGAATATCAATTTTGGTAAACCTTCTGCTTACGGTTTAGCCGCTAGCGTTGTTTACAGACAGACAGACGCTTTGCCGTTAACCCATTTACAGTACAAAGAATCCACAAAACGTGGATTCTAGACACACATATTTTTAAAAGAGCGAATGTTGTGCATACAGGGTCATGAATTATCCACTTTTGCGGTATCAAGGATTTACAATACAAAATTTTCTCCTGTCGTTTTGCATTGCAGCATTACATATCTCTCTCTACCTAAATAGTATGCAAGAAAATCAAAATATTTTAAGTTACTGTTTTACAAGATCAAGCTCTTAAACAGTATGGTCTCTCTTTTTGTATTTATTTCAAAGAAACTAATCGCTTCACCCCTCTCGCCATAAAATAAATGTAAAAAATCTATTACTGAATAGTTTGTACTTTATATAATAAAAATACAAAATATATTTGCGCATGGCACTTATTTATAATATATTTAAAACTGCATATAATTCAGAATAATTGATTTCATGAACAAAAATCATTATAGCGCAGAAATTGCTATATTCCTCCAAGAAATAATGTACACATCCTTCACGCAGCACTGTCCAGTTCGAACGCATCTAGACGCAATTGCATTCGCCTATGTGATTCACGTCATCTGCTGCGTGCGCAAGGTGGCTGGATGGAGCACACGAGAATAAGTAATCGGCCCAATGCTCGGCCCTAAGGACGGGGAAGGCGAGAGAACTGCGAAGAAGGGGTCCTGCGCGGTCCAATGTCCCCAATGAAATAAGTCATTTATGGCTACCTCAATGAATCCGCAAAATACGTAAAGTATTTCATTTTTACAACCAGAACGGCAGTAAATAATGAAAAAAGAACCACGGATGGGATAGAAAAATTAGTTGTGGTTAGTAAAATATTGAGACGTGTAAAGCCAACTATGAGAGTAAGGCATGGGGCAGGTACATTTATATGAGTGATAATAATTGTTTATATGATAAAGAAAGAGTAATATTAGTCTCAGAATTCTGAGGTGGTGTTGCTCCAGCATTCGCCTGGAATCGATCACAGCAGTCGACTCACGAATTCGATTCCGTCTGGCGCCACGCACTCGCCGGTGTGAGAACGCATCTGGCAAAATTTCGGAATGACAATAACAGAAATTACGAATTCCAAAATATTATCACAGAGATACCTTAGAGCAACAACTACTGCCACTGCTGCATTGCTTACCGAGAGGTTCTATGGTTCGAATTCCGACGGTGGTTGCCAGCCGAAGTACGTTGCCAGGTTGAATTCAGTCAGCCATAGTGTGAAGGATAATTCTAGCAGTCAGCTGCTCTGATCGGTAATTTTCAGATCAAGATCAGGTCATCGAGTCACGGACAGTATACAATCTTTTTCTTCCTTATTCTTGCCCCCGCCTCTTTCTCCTTGCATACACACACGCACGCACGCACAAACTTTCACTGACATGCTGTTGACTACCACATTTGCGGGGAGATCCGTCGTCAGCATGTTCTGGCAGGGGCCCCGCTGGCGGAGATACCAGGAGCAGAGAAACCCCGCCGCCCCGCTAACAGGACTAGAGGAGTTGGAGTTGAAGCATCGCTCACCCTGAGCCCCGGCGGGAGGCTGCGCGGCGGCACATCCACGGAGGTGTTGACGGCCACGCGCAGGCCGCTCCACTGGCCCTTGTTGCTCGTGCGGCGCGGCCGCGGCACGGGGGGGCTGCTCACCAGCTCCCTGCGCAGCAGCCAGCGCCCGGGCACGGGGCACACTCACAACTCGGCCGGGCGCTCCACCTGCCTTCGCCGATCAGCACCAAGCGAGTGCCGCGGCAGTTCTCTACCAAATGGGTCACGGATCGCGCGCGTCTTTCCTTCTCATCATTTGCCCTAGCATGACTCCTTACGTGAACGAATATGCGCTACACCACCACTCTTGTTGAGAACTAAGAGATTGTCCCGGCGGGGGAGGGATCACGCTGGAGTGAAATACCGCGCATCGTCCCCGCGGAAGACGGCGTCAGATCTCGCTATCTATTGGGGAAGAACACGTACAGTTCAGGTGTTCATACGCGCAGTTCGATCAAAGTTAGAATCCAGCAAGAAGCTATTTTCTCTTTAAAACGATGATTTACAAAGTGCGGAATGTTATAACTACTCCACCTAATGATATACAACAAAACATATTGTGGAAAACAAAATGTATGACTCACCGGCAATAATACTACCTTTTGTGATCGAATAAAGCGAATTTAATTCCATGACAATGTACAGTACTAATTTGCACATTCTGGAGTTCTACACCTATTCCTCGATGGCTGATTTACGTCCTCCTCCTATGTCTAAAACTGGTCAGATTTACTCAAAGGATCGCACTTCAGTTATTTAGACGCCTTAAGTATACCCTAACTTCATTTGTAAGCTGAAAAAAATTGAACCAGAGAAAAAAAACCTTCCATGCCCAGGAGCTTCAAATTTTGAAGAGCAAGCAAAAAGGTTCTAAGTACCGGATATTTTTTTCTTAACTTTGAAGGACACTCTACAGACGTTACAGATTTCACGAACAATCAACTTTTTTGCCTACAAACATGAATTTATAGTTTAAAAATAGTTTCCCACTGTTAACACAAAACTGGCAAATATGACATCGAATCTTTTTATTTGCACTGATTCTATTAAGGTCCATTGTTAGTGGTGAGTGTTAAACGTTTAAAAATGACCAGGTGCCTCAGAGTGGCCATAAAATAAAGTGCACTAAGTCTTGAGCCGTGAAGAGCAATAATTTTAATTTGCAGGAAGTTCTTGAGATCTTGCATCACCTACAATTTTGACGTCACGATCGTAGCTATGTTAGGTTACCATGATACTTTTAGGACCAAGTTGACTGGAAAATCCTCACGCATATCCTACATGACGATGAGGCTCTGATCTCTGACACTCAAAATTTGGATAAAACGACCTTCAGTCTGCGCAACACAATTTACAACGAATGGTTATCATTTTTTAAATGTTAAGATGTAGAATCGAATTCACTAATGTGTAAAAGTCAAACCGAGGGATTATGTTTTTTAAATGTATTTATTTATTGATATTTAACAGAGATCATTGAGGCTCGTTAGTGATGAAATAATGAGTTGTTAGCAAAAATTATGGTGGAAAAATGGAGGAAATACAGCGAGAGGAAATGGGAGAACCTCGATAAAACCTGCCGAGAGCTCTCCCCGTCCCCCACAAGAGTTGGGCGGGGATTGAACTTAGCTTGCATTATGTCCTTGGGGATCAAAGTCTGCCCTCATGGGGACAGAGTAACATAAATGTATGAAATTATGGCAGTTATATACAACGAAAATTTAATTGTTAAGTTGGTAGCTATTCATAAATTACTCTTAACCTTCTTTTAAACTACGCGACCTGGGATCGAACGCGAACCTTAACAACGGAAGGCGTATGCTTCAACCACTTCAACGCAGCTTTCCACCCCACGCTTTTGTGCATCTCACTCACTCGTGACGTATTTCGGAGATCTCCGAGTTGAAAGAGAAGCAGAAGCCGGCCTCCGTGCGCTGCAGCTCGAAGATGGCGCAGCAGTTGAATTCCGTGTTCCGCCACCAGCAGCGGCCCACGAAGAACTGCTCGCACGACGGCATCATCTGCACACGCGCACACAAGAGCACTCACTCCGGGCAGGGTTCTCAATTCACTAAGTCAATGCTTCGGGGAACTCTTTGAGCAGTAAGGAATCATCTAATATATAAAATCTATGTTTGTTTGTTCGTTAGTATTTTATGCGCTTCCGTATCATTCATCTGATTGCTATAAAAATCTTCAACGTTTTTCTTTTAGTTGCGCACAGGTTACAGACGCAGTACAATGGCAATGTGCGCATGCCTGTCGCACATAGACCAAATTGAGGTGGCTTTCATCTCCTAATCGTTTTGCTGAGCGTAGCGTCAAACGCGATTTATTATCACGTGACCAGTAGAGTGTAAAGTGTAATACATTGCAATAGCGAAGCATGCCTGCGTCCACTTATTTATAAAAAGTATATCGTGCTAAGTATATATGGGTCGTAACAGTGGTTGAAAATTGCGAAGCGGGAAATTTTTTCCCACGTAATTGTTGAACTTACAAGTGTGACTAGAATCTAAAATGTATAGTAAGTTACCACGAGGCTCTCATCCCCCAAAGATTGTTCAAATCTGACTGATTCTATAGAGTAATTGAGCGCGAAACGTAAGATAAAGATTCGATTCCTGACTGGGACATCACATACGAAGTTTGAATAGTAAAAACGTTATTTATAACAATTGGCTTGCTTTGTGCAGAAACCTCTCTTGTCCAGTCCGTTTACAGCTATGAGATCTGGTGATCGCGCGATATAATATATAGAGACGCATCGACTGGCATAAAAATCCCTCATGTCCACAGCAAACTGAAGGTGTAACATCTAGCTAATGTTTAAGTTTGGTGCAGAATCGGATGTAAAGTAATTCAGTTTTTCCTTTCTGGAAATCAAGGAGAACGCACATGAGGGGTTTCTGCACCAAACGATTCAAGTATATTATCAATAATATAGTATATATTTAGTTATGATACACTGAAGAGCCAAAGAAACTGGTACAGCCATGCGTATTGAAATAAATAGATCTGGAACTAATTCGAAGACGGCGAGGCGGTAGCCAACGACTACATAAGACAACTAGAGTCTGGCACAGTTGTTAGATCGGTTACTGCTGCTACAATGGCAGGTTATCACGATTTAAGTGAGTTTGAACGTGGTGTTATAGTCGGCTCAAGAGAAATAGGAGATATCATCTTCGGGATCCCGTTGCAATTTGAATTTTCCGTACGACCATTTCACGAGTGTACCGTGAAAATCGGATATCCGGTAAAACATCAAACCTTCGGCATCACTGTGGCCGCAAAAAGATCGGGCAAGAACGGGACTGACCACGACTGAGGAGAATCATTACACGTGACAGACGTGCAACCCTTTCGCAGCCTTCGGCAGGTTTCAAGAGCCACCGTGAGAACCATTCAACGAGACATTATTGATATAGGGTTACGGATCCGATTGCCCACTTGTGTACCCTTGATGACAACACAACACATAACTTTACGCCGTGCCTGGACCCGTCAACACCGACATTGGACTCTTGATGACAGGAAACACGTTGCCTGGTCTGACGAGTCTCGTTTCACATTGTTTCGAGCAGATGGACGTGTACGAGAATTGCGACCTCATTAATCCATGTACCCTGCATGAAAAGGAGGACTGTTCAAGTGGTGGAGGCTCTGTGATGGTATGGAGCGTGTGCAGTTGGAATAATATGGGATCACTGATACGTCTAGATGCGATTCTAATACATGAAACGTACGTAAGCATCATGTTTGATCACCTGCACCCATTCATGTCCATTGTGCATCCCGACGGACTTGGGCAATTCCAGCACAACAATGCGACAGCCCACGCGTCTAGAATTGATACTGAGTAGCTCCAGGACACTCATGAATTTAAACACTTCAACTGGACATCAAACTCTCCAGACAGGAACATTATTGAGCATATCTGGGATGCCTTACAATGTGCTGTTCAGAAAAGATCTCGACCCCCTCGTACTCAAACGAGTTTATTTGCAGCCCTGCAGGATTCATCGTGTCAATTACCTCCGGTACTACTTCCAGTAGACATTAGTCCATGCCACGTCGTGTAGCGGCACTTCTGCGTGCTCGTGAGGGCCCTACTCAATATTAGTCAGGTGTACCAATTTTTTTGTTTCTCAAGTGCACTCTAGAGTTAGTCATAATATCAAATAATTAATCATTTGCACGTATTAATTAAAAGTGCGACCTGAATTGTTAAACTCCTTTTAAACATGAGCCTGAAAGCAAATATCCTTGGAAAGTGAGAGCAAAGAGCAAGCGTCACGCGCTGCGCCGCACCGCCAGCATGACGGCGGTGAGGTTGAGGTGTCGCAGCTCGGCCAGCGTCGCCTTGTCGGTGGGGAACTCCTCGGGCAGCTGGTCGAAGTCGCCGAAGTCCATGACGTTGAGCGCTCCCAGCAGCATGCGGAAGGCGGCGGCGGCGGCGGCGCCTGCGCCCGCCAGGTGCCTGCGCATGCGCAGCCAGCGAGCCCCACATGCTCAGTCCTTTCCACTGGCGGTTCCTCACGGACAGGGAGTGTGTGGGTCAATGAGGTTTGAAAGATGACATCGTTTCGGCCAACATGCTGCTACCTTCCTAAGGGGAAATTCCACGAAACTATCATATTTTATGGGCTGTATGACGCGTTTTTCTTCAATAAATAACCTCCAGAATTTACGTGCGTCTTATACTCGACATTAATATTAAAATATTCGGTGCTTGATTTAAAATTCACGACAGTCTTAAAATGGTCATATATTTGATCCCACGGTAAAGCTACCTCTATCTGACAACATTGAATTCTCCGGGCAGCAGCAGTGCATAGATACGACGAACACGAATTGCGAGAATTCACAAGCTAGCTAACAGTGTCTCCCTCCCACACAGCCATCACAAACCCAGAACACCGACTAGCGTATGTTTTGTTATTGAACGGTGTCAGTGAATTTGAATTGAAAGTGATTTGTGTTATCTGAAACAACAATATTTTTGTTAGTATCTATTTTCGTTATGGAAAAAATAAAAGGTTGTCGTATGATGCGGAGTATACATTTAAAATATTATTTTTTAAATTACTTAAAAATTAAGGTGCGTCTTGGAATCGCCGCGTCCTTGGAACAGATGCCATGATAGGATCTTCCTCGGGGCGAAATGCCTCGTTTGGGGGCATTGCGCCTCGAGAAAGGTCACGGCATGACGGCTAAATGTAGACTGACATCTGTGCCTAGAACATGGCCTCTCCAGGCAGCCAAGTTGATCCAGAGTGAGTTTTGATTTCAGTCGCATCGGCTACCGTCAAAGAGGGGAACTTGGGACGTTTTGCGACTTCTTTTAAAACTTTGGCTGTCTTAGTTGTGATCAGGTGTTTGAGTCCGAAGCAGCGCCGTAGTGTTCTCGACGGTTTAAAGAAGATATATACTAATCTTTTGGAAGTTTTACTTGCAGGTAAGTGTTATTCAGTATCAAAAATAGTTAACGTAAGCTTTCACCTGAAAAACTACCATCGTAAAGCTTTCCTTGTACCGTTCTTATTTAAGCTTTTTTCTATTTGTGCTTATTTGCATCCCACAATATGATCTATTGTCCAGAACCTCCAGTATCATGTTCATGCTGCCCACCAATTGTTAAGTGGGTGGAAAGGCCCAACGCGTGACCCCATGTAGGTGAATTGGAACGCTGTCCCAAGTTACCCAACAGTGGAATTTGAAAGAATGAAACAACAAAAATATTGAATTCAGTGTCATATTAATTAATATGAATGCAAAGTAGAATATGAATTATTTTTTTAATGATGCCATTTAATTTTGAAAATCAGTTACAATCACTTCACAATATCTGCAGTGTATATATACATGTCGCAAATTATCATGCCTAATAATGTCCTTTTAAAAAAGGTACATATGTTTTCCCAGTTAACATTACAGTGTAACTTGGGACACCAAGTTTTGATATTACGAGTATAATACCCAACATATTCCATATTCAAAGAAATTAAGTAAATATTCCTATAGTACAGATATGAACATAATTTCATATAGAGAGGGTTGAACTACAAACATCAAGTTACTATCAATTAATCAAACTGCAACAAGTATCCCTAGTTATCTTCTTTGACGGTACTTGTGTCATTAGTCTCGAAAGTATAGTGCAAGTTATATCCGTGTGGAGGTTTTAGTAGTAGTGTTGTTTTTCCCCGTCTGCAATTTGAATTCCAACGCCTACCTACCGGCTCCTCCGTCTAGGCGTTGCCCCAACTGAGACAAACTCTAAGTTTCCAGTTAATCTCCAGACTGTGCAAGTTAGTGCAGTGCATGAAAGAATATATGTGTATGTGTGGAAGGCAAGAAAAAACAAATCCCTGAATTTCACTGTTCTTGGAGCGGTGGGCTCTAACTGGAGATGTATTTTAGAAAAACGATGGTAGTTTTCGCGTTTTAGATTTTATTATAGACACAAATCTTTCTCTACAATCAATATCGTAGTTGAAGAAAGACTTCGAAAAAGATTTCAATTTTTGCGATTTTTCGATAATTCAGAGATTGAAAATGAACTTGTGGATGCACCTTTTTTAAGAGTCCTATCCTCTAACATGAGAAAAAACTAATAGAAAATTTGGAAAAAATTTTGAGAAATTTTGAAAATATTGGTTAACTAAAACCCTTAAATGAAAATATTGTTTTCAATATCACAAAGCCTTGAGTTCGTCAAGATCGATCGAGAAATAAGAATTTTGGAAAAAATCGGGTGAACGGTTTAGACACTAGCGCTGACCACAGACAGACAGATGGACCGGCGTTTTGCCGTCACTCAATTTCTCGGTGTCACGAACCCAGAAAATTGGATTTCGACTACATAATGTGAGAGGAGGTAATTTACTACTAAATAGCGAGGCCTCACAATTCGAGGTTTTCAGACGAATATTCATCGTTCTGCTGCAGCATTACAATACTTTATATTTACTATATAAGAATGTAGTAAGGTAAGAAAATAAAAACTGGAAAAGAAAAGATTGAATTCACAATGAAAAAATACAATAATTCAGGATATATCATAATTTAAGACACTCTACGGAAGATTGCAGCTTTAAAAGGTGTACAGGCCTGCTCCGGAAATGCGAGTCATAAAATATTAACTAAAAGCACACTTTCTGTTGATAAGAGAATAAATGTGAGTAAACCAGAAAATTATTACTACTACTCCTTAACAGTTACCTTCACTATGACGTACTAGTTTCTGCACTGAGTCACATTAAAAGATAACATCTGGCAGTAAATATAATGAATTTTCCTCCGTAATAAACATTCGAGACAAGATTGCAAATATCTAGGTAATATATAAAAACGAAAAGATAACAAATTTTACCTCTAAGGTCGAGTAACACACGTACAAAGAGGTAACACGTACAAAGAGAGAATTTTTATAGTTAGATCTTTAATAATATTATTTTGTAAAAATATTTTTTGTATTCCAGTGTTGTACACATTTTGCGTTACAAGAAACCGTTCAAAAAATGACATCATACAGACGATGACGTATTATGGCACAAATAATTGCTTCAGTATTCATCCAGCCAATCAAAACGAGAAAATCGTGCGAAGGTACAGTTGAACCAAACAGCTTCTCACAGTTTTTGCGCAATAATATCAATTACCCGTGAGGTGACAAAAAAGTTATTCCCATAAATTAACTCTGATTCGCATATAAAATGTATAATACTGTTATACAAAAAAGCGTATGCAACTCGTTGAAAATGTTCCTTTATTTCAAATGCATTTATTACAATGCATTAGTATAAATGAGAAAAACGCGCTCCTAACGTCGTTCGCTTTGAAAACATTTACTCACGCAATGAAGCTTAACATTATAAAAGTGTTGCATATTAAACTATTATTAATATGTTTTATCCGTTGAGCACATCACCTGAGAATGTAATATATTAAAAATATATTAAAGAGCAATAAAAAGATTAGCTAATTTCGTTGAATTTTGCAGATGGTGTTCAGCAAAGAGATTACGGTTTTGTAGAAAAATGTATTGAACACATGAAATAACTCCCAAGAAGGGAAGAGGGGTTAAAGGTAAATATTTTATTTCGTATTGAGTTCGAGTTCAATACAATATTTTCTATCATTCACAATTTCTAAGTTTATATAACAAACTAACTAAAAACTTCTTTATAAATTTGTTTTTTTTTCTCTTCAATGTAATAAAAAGTATACTACTGTCAAATACAAAACAAATGTTCACAAATAGTACTTAACAAAGCAACTTCTTCAAAAAGCCTGTCTCGGGACTCGATCTGAGCCATCTAAGCCGGGAAATGAGAAGGGACGCTGCACTCACTCCTGCTGGTAGCGCAGCGCTTGGCTCCAGCGCACGCGGTTGGCGTCGCACAGCGTGATGGCCGGGAACGGGATGTTGGCGATGGGGAAGTTGGTGGCCTCCACCACCGTCATGGTGGGGGAGCTCCAGTAGCGGTCGGCCACTTGCTTGGACATGTAGGCGGCGCAGTACACCGCCAGCACGCACAGCGCCACCCACAGCAGCCTGCGCACGCCACACTCTCGCCGCACGCCCTCTTAGTACACTGCGCGACCAGCTCTCGCCGCGACTCATGCATTATTTCGTTTTGCCAGGCGCGTCAACGCCTGTAGTCATTAGTTCCACTTTTTATCACGAGAGGTGATTTCCGTGTTCTTTTCCCGATGAATAGCGAGTTCTCGCACCGACCTACTGGGCGCTTGCGACGTTTCCCTCACCAGGTATCTCACTGGGACAAGCTCTAAGCTCCCAACTGATTTTGTGAGAGGTAGTGTAGTACATGTAAGTGTATGTATGTGCAAGCATGGAGTGGGGATAAGAAAAGGAAGAGTCAGGAAAGATCGTGGCCCGTTTGTTAAGGTACTGCTCCGGCATTCGCAAGGTATTGATCTGGGAAACCATGGGAAACTACCGATCTGAGCAGCCGGCCGCTGCTCTGATTCGGTATTCTCTTCCAGACAGAAACTGAATTCAACCTAACTTTGTAGCTAGTGTGAAAAATTTTTCCACCGTCAGGACATGAACCCTAGAACCTCCCGATCAGAGAGTCGGTAAAATTAAGCCCCCAGGTGCACGGTAAAATTAAATTCCTCCGGCAGTTCCGGGATCTCACGTTCTCCCAACCAGAGTATAGATACAGTTAACTCGACCGACATCTGGCGGAGAAATTGAGAATCACACCCAGGCGGTTCAGGAGACGCCCACGTGATGCGGGAGATGCCCACCCATCGAAAAAATTCCTTAGACCCGCCCCAAGGGATGGCTTTACAAGAAGACAGGGTCGAAAATACGAATGTGGAACTACGACAATGGCCTGCAAAATAACCCATACTAGTTCAACTCATGCAATTATATTGAACAGTAGAAAGGTAGCACACATTGCTTTAAAAAGGTAGAACAGAAAATACTGCACATCTACGAACATATATTAGGTATTATATTTAGCAAAATATTTAAGACCGTTGAATATTCACAGTACAGTTTTCGAACAGGTTTAGTGCAGGACGTACAGAAAACGTGCAGACCAGTCTGATCGATTTCTGCGAGAAAACGTTTCAGTATATTCATAATTGTTCATGCAGAAAGCTTAGTTTGACTCAAGGACCTCTAGCGACAAAATCGTTCACTAACGGATGTTTACCCGACGCGAAGATAATCGGCCACTTCGATTTTGTGGTTGTGTGTGTCAAAGTGCAATTGTGTCGAGTGAAATTGAGATAATCCACCTCTTTTCCTGTTGCCACCTTATTTTTCTTTATTTATCCGTGGTTAATTAATACTTTAAAAAGATGACAGCAAGAACGAACTCACAGAAATACCGCCACTGAAAGTACTTGGACGGAGCAATTCAGTTGTTTCCCGGTGGACCTCCTATCAGCATCTGATGTCGATTCATCCAGACTTCATACACACAACGAATGCACGACCTTTGGCTTTTATACTTCTGGTTTGAGATCTGGAAGTTTCCATACAGACCTGTATGAGAAAATGCACAGAAATTGCACCGGGTTACCGACCTTTACAAGGATACATGGATTTTGTTTTCGCCTACAACAGCAAATGCTGCTATCAACCTCACCTTAACGTATAAAACAGAGAATATGCAATACAATTTGCAAATAATAATGAGAATTACTTCACCTTTTTGATGTTCTACGTAGATATCATAAGAAGGTACACTGAATACAATTGATAGCCACAACTAATCGTTTTAACGATCCCACGTGATGTTCTGTAGGCAAGGGCAACTACAAACGCGTTTCCCGTGCATCATTCGCACGGGGAGATGCGCACGTCGCCATCTCCCAGTTTTCATTCTAGCCGCACCTTTTTTTGGTACCTCGCTTCTTTGAACGCCGATTACGAGGGTCATCAAAATGGGACTCTTAATAGATTTTGAAGAAGACAGTTCGTACCTCTCGCTCCAGTGGCGTCCGTCCTCGGCGATGTAGCGCAGGCCGTGGATGCTGGTGCTGAGGCAGTACTCGCGCAGGCCCTGCGGCGGGGCGCGGCGCCGGGGCTCGGAGGGGCTGCGGCTGCCGCTGGGGCTGGCGCTGGGCCACAGCGCCGCGCGCTGCTGGCGGCGGCCGCGCAGCGAACCTCCCCGCTGCCCGCCACACCCCGCGCGCGCGCCCAGCCAGCCACCCCACAGCCGCTGCGAATGCGCACTGCGAATGGCATGCTCGGCCCGACCCACCGCCCAACTCACAGCACGCCATTTCCATTACTCCATTTGCAATCCAATTCATGACATCTAGTAGTGTTATTATTGATAAGCATTTCATTAATTTAATACTAGCATGTCTAGTAATACGCTTACTCAATGCTAAATTTTAAATCCAATGGTTGATTGGTGATTCCGGCTGCGTCAACTGTTGAGGTCATTAGTCTCGGAAGTTTTTATCGAGGGGGAATAGAATCGGGTTTATTATTACATGTAAGTGAGAGTGTGTGTAAGTGCAGGGTAAGGAGAGGACAACAGAGGAAGGGAAGTTCGCATGTGGCCCGTAGCCCGTTTCTTAGGGTACTGCTCTGGTATTCGCCTGATGTTGATCAGAGATAAACACGGAAAACTACCGATCAGAGAAGACGGTCGCTTTAATTAACGTGCAGACAGCGGTTGAATTCACCCTAGCTATCTCGCTAGTAACAAACATCCTGCCACCGTGAGCACTCGAACCATAGGACCACCCTGTCAGATGCACTGAAGTGATGCCAGTTGATGCCAAACTGATATCAATTGCTAACTAAGCCGGTTCTCAAATCTAAAGAGCAGTAGTGGTAAGGGTGCCACGGGGCGTGTGCCGTGGGCTTTCCATTGCCTCCATCAATGGGCCCAAATTCCCTCCATCAATGGGCCACTCATTTGAATAGCCCTGACCTAAGCTGCTGGGCCGGGGCCTGTGCCTGGTGCGTGGCAGAGTGGCTG